ATAACTATAGGCTATACCCTATAAAATAGCAATATCTTCATAAAAACAACGTAAGAGCACTACAAAAAAATTACAATGTAATAAAATCACTACTCAAAGGCCATTTTTAAAAAGCTGTTGTTTTTGTTGTTTGTTTTTGTTTTTAATGTCCAAAGTGTGTACAGATCTAAAGTGTATTGAAAGAGGGTTCCAGAAATTAGGAGGCGCAATTTCAAAAGCACAGTCACCTCTTGTTTTAAGTCTGAATCAAGGAACAGCCAACAAACCCCTCTGCTGATCTTAAGTATCTACTAGTTATGTAGAGCTGTAGTAAATCTCTGACATAGGCAGGTGCCTGACCATGCAAGGCTCTGAAAATAACTACCAGGGTCTTGAAGTGAATTCTGAATTTGATGGGGAGCCAATGTAGAGAGATCAACAACAATGAGAGACTTCAGCAAGCATAGTCGGTATCAAGTGAGAAACTACCAACTTTAATCTTTTTTGAATAATATTCCCTCCTGATGTTTATTTATTTGTTTGTTGAGCTGCAGTGTACTGAAGTGAGTTAGAATGGAATCCACCTTTCATACTGCTGAAGCCTCAAAAACGCAGCTTACCTTTAAAAGCATTTTTTCACTGACATTCCTCTCTCATTCTTTAGCACAACTTTGATCCCATAACTGTTGTTTTAGGCTTTTGTGTTTTAATATCATATATTTAGATCAGTGTAAGAGGAACACATCAGCAGGATGCCTTACATTATATCCTCAATAAGGTGGATGCATCTGACAGTGTGTCCTGTTTATTTTAAAATAACTTTGTGACTGTATTTCGTATTCTTGATAATGGTTCCGTGTTAGCCAGACTTCACTGAGCAATAACATATGGCCCTTGGTGAGTTTGAGGTCAAAAGATGTTGGTGGCTACTGTAAGATAAAACATTTCACACTGAAATAATCATTTAAACGCTGGTGAAACAACAGTTGCAAACTAGATGTCAAAAATCACACACGCATATTGAACCTTTGCTGTTCTTAAATACTGCATCATGTCAATAATTACTGTAGAAAACATTTTGGCATCATGCAATGTGCAGTTACAAGGCAAACTGAGCTGCTTTTTTACTTCAGCAGGTTTTATGCACATTTACTGGTCATAGAGCAACTTACAAACCCTGGTTATCGTTTCTGTTTGAGGACACATTACTGTAAATGCCCTGTGTGGAATTTTCTGTGATGTTATTTTAGTAGGTTAGTCGGTTGGAGATAAGTGTAATTATGTAAAGCTCAGTAGTCCAGAGGATTTTCTGCAGAGCTTGGGGATTATTATCACTATGTACAGATTAATTTCCCATTTCCTCGCTTAGCTAAAACTCACAGCTTCTCATATTCCAGACAGTAAAAGTTTTCACATATCCTAGTTGGGTGATGCCCTGCAGAAAGTGTGAAGTGCATTGCAGTTGAAGAAAACAGAGGGAAATGTCTGGCTGCTTTCCTTCCTGGCTGTAACCAAGATTGATGGGGTGTGTGTGTACCGTAGCATTTCGTACCTCAGGAAGGTCCACTTCACTGCCACAGCAAAAGAGAATGGATGGTTGTTCACACATACAAACACACACTTGTAAATGAGTCAGCAAATAGCTTTATAATACTACCGAACAGTAGGAATTATTGACTGTGTGAATGAAATGCATTTTTATTACATCTACACGAAAGGTCTTGCTAAGCAGGTGATGAATGGTGTTTTAAATAACATGTACTTTCTACAAAAAGAGATTCAGGGTTCTGTTGTCGAATTAGATATTTCTGCGCTCTCCACTGTAGCTATGAATTTTCACAGGTCTCAGACAGTTCAATTTGTCAGTTTTAACAGCCATTCAAGAAATCATCTAAAAGAGGTAGGAAAAAGATCATATAAATGATAGAAAATGAAGAAAATTTGAAATTAATGCAAAGACATTTGAAAGCTGTAAACGTGTTATGCATTACAGAACGTCACAGTACAGCCCTACAAAGCCACAATTTAGAGATGACATATTTTGAGCAAAACTAGTTTAAGACTAGAAAGAGTTGATGAAAGGCAAAACTTTACATAATAGAGGAGTATGAATGTTTTCTGTTTAAGGGAACAGTCAACATTAGTGAAGGAATGCCAAATTAGAGGCAACACCAATAGAGCTTTTTTTTATTTCCATGTTGCTATGAATGAAATATTACCAGTCAGTGGTGTCCACTTTATAGCTCACAAGTAGACTTTACATCACCAAATTTCCAGTACAGCCTTTTACAAGGGATGTATAAACTAATTTTTCTGTGTTAAATCAAAAGAAATTTTTCACCCAATGAAGTAATATGATCAGCTGTACTGGGGCTACATGACTGGCAGTGTTAGTCACTGTTTGGCCCAAAAAATACGCTTGCTGTCATGTCTGTGTTTCAGTTTCTAGTAGTCGTACGCCCAGTTAAACTGGACCCAACTGCACCATTTTGGTCACGTGTTGTATTGAACACAGTTGATGGTGTTCATGGGTGGGAGCCTGGTACGTTTTCATGTCCTTGTCACTGGTAAGTGGGGACTTGCACAGGGAGGAGATGGAACCAGAGGATAGCATGCCATTAACCAATCCCATCACCCTAGTGATGCAAAAATAAACAATACAACATAAATTCAATGCAGTTCGTATACTGACTTAAAAGTTGAGAAGCCAACAAATTCAATTTAAGAAGTTTTATTCTTTGGAAAGTGTCTTTCTCTGGTGTAAGGTTTATGTGCAATTAAATAGGGTGCAAAGTTACATTACATTTTACAATGTAACAAATTGGATATATTAAAGGGAATCCTGTTAAACAAGATCAGAGTAATATTTAAAACTTAATGATGCACAGAATCCCTGCTGAAGGAACCTAATTGCTACTGGATTAAATCAATAAAACTTTAGCATGCAATATAACCAGCCTAAGCACATGGACGTAAGCCCTCTCGTGCACTGCTCTTTTGTTGAAAGGTTAGCTGCTCTCAACCACCAGTCACCTCTAATCTTGTTATGTTTCAGCGGGATGTCAGAGAGGGAATCTGTTGGTGTAGCTCTGACCAGATCTCTGACCTGAGATGCTTACAGAGGCCAGACCTTCAGGCAGTTGTCATGTCTTATTACGTCCGGTGCACCAGGCTAGCTGCGCATCTATAACACCACACACTGTTAAACGGTTCACCCTGAGTCTCCCTTTTATCTCTACTCAAATAAATATGTATGTGTTCTTAAGACCGGGCCAAAGGTATCAGTTGTGATTTTCATGCATAGCACAACATCAGAGAGAAGTTAGATTTTTTTTATAGATGGGGAAACTAGAAGCTATATCTAGTTATATATAGTTTGATATTAAAGCTTGTTTTGGGCAAGTAGAGGGACAGTGAAACAGTAACCCAAGCTGAAATTGGGCAGATAGGTTTCAGAGTTTCAAGATACAAAAGACAATTAACTTTCTCAAAGGGAAAACACTGATTAAAGGCATATTCCAACATTTCGGAAGGCGTGTGATTACAACATCAACATCACCTTCATATATTTAAATTTATCTGCTTCAAGCATCTTGGGCACATCAGATATTGTCAAGGTGAAGAGAATGCAAACAAGAACAGAGACAGAATGGTCTCACAGTCTGCTCTGATGTTGAAAGATGCATTTATCTCTCCAAGCTGCTTGAGTAGTAGTTCTTCTTCTCAAATGTAACTACAGGTACTGGGTCAGGCCCTGTGAGAATAACAACCTAGTCCTGATTGCACGTTGTTGCCTTATAGAAAGCAAGTTAGTTCACTATACATAGAGCATATTAGGAACTAAAGATGAAATTGATATTGAATTTTTCATTTAAATCCAGATTAAGATGTTTTTTCTCAAATGATGGAATTACATGGTGTCTGTTCTTTACTGTGATTATACAGTGGCAGTGAATCAGAAATCAGACTTGTTATGAAATTAGCAGCTTTTGAAACTATGAAATTGCTGGACTTACATCTTTCTTGGTAAGCAAGATGTGACTTCACTTGTATCATTGATTGTACAACTTTCATCATAGGTGTACAGATTTTTACCACTTGCAGTCAAGTTTGTGGGTGGAACTTCATCAGAGGTGGATTTCACCAGCATCCACTCCCATTTCATGTAGTCTTTTCCAGGCGTGTTTTCACCAGAAGGAGGGCATAAAATGACTGAAAACAACAAAATATTGATTTTCATGTTGAATTTGGTGCATTCAACAAACTACATAGATACTGTTTATATTAACAAAACTCTGCAATCCTTGCTTGCTTGTAAAAATCCTTAGAATCAATTACATGTGTGGTGTGAAAAATGCCTACTATGCAAGTTCCAAACTATTTCTTGTTGATTTGCTTAAAATATATGATTTTTTCCCTTGAGCAAAACACAGACATGACAGTTAATGGGAAGTCCCTCTCTACCATTCCCTGTTTGCCACTGTTTGCATTTAAGTGAATGAAGATGTTACTTAAGGTCAGACTTGAACCATCAGGGTGTGTGCAGGTCAGGTCTACCAGCCAGAGAGCTGCGCATGAGAAGCAGACCTCACCATACATAATGGATGAGAGGGGTTTATTCTCCCGAGAAGGACAAAAGGGCCTAATGCCTCCGGGCTGTGCATGTTTATGCACGCTCACGCCAGAGACAAACAGCAGAGTGAGTGAGACCAAAAATAGAGAAGTGCACAAAGGAGAGGATTCTGCTGCCAAATGTTGTGAATTCTAAAAGACCTTGAATCCCTGCTGTGGCAGAAAGGTAGCAGAGATGCTGGCTGTTTAATGTGGACAGCTACTAACTGAGCTCTGCTGCTGCAGTTTGCTCTGATTGGATCAACCTCCACTCTCACAACTGCCACAGATCAAAGAACAGGGAAAAAATTTAAATAAGCTGAGGTTTTAGGTTCATGTTCGTTGCCAAGAAAATGATTTAGACTGATGTTGATGCTCCTCTGTGTGTATGTGTGTATATGTGTCCTCAGATATCGATGAGTGTGCAGAGGGCCTGATTGAGTGCCACAACCACTCCCGCTGTGTCAACCTGCCCGGCTGGTACCACTGTGAATGCAGAAGTGGTTTCCATGACAATGGCTCCTACTTGCTCGATGGGAGCTCCTGCATTGGTGAGCATACACTGAATTGAAAACATTCTCATCACTGCTTGAAATACCAGCTCCTCATTCTCTGCATGCCCGCCACCAAGCTACTGTCGACATTTTTCTCCCTCTCTCATTCTGCGGCCAATTACTCAGAAATACTGTTGTGCCTAACTTTCTCTTCAAGTCTGTTTTATCTCTGGTCCCCTCCAAGATCTCTTGTCATTCTTTATTTTGTTTATCCTCTAATAATCTAGCATGTAGACAATGAACACAGCATTTACAAGGAAGCTAATCAGAGGTCTTCTCACCTTCACAGCTCAGGATCTAATCCGCGCTGTGTGAAACCCACACACAACACCTAATGAGGTATATTCGTGATTAGTGCACATCAAGGCAAGAAAAAAAAGAGAAACTCCAAGTTCATGTACTACTTGTGACAAAACACAGTGGTGGTGCATACAACTGGGGGAGTACAATGAAAGACTTTCAAGCTGTAAAAATCAATTATTAACTTAGATGCCTAACACGCATTCACACTGCTAGTAACTAGGGATTTTACAAGCACATCAACATTAGACAATCAGACAAATCTTTTGCAAACATGTCTGCATGTTTCCCCAAGAGAATGTAGGAATTTAAGGTGCTCAAACTGTGTTTCAAATGGGTAATTATGAAAAATCACTGCGCATAAGTTTCATGCACTATGAGTCCACTGAGGTAACAGGGAATAGCCCTTCTTACTGGACAAAGAAAGAGTTATTCATCTAAATTTTCATTTTATGAAAGGAAAACTCATTAGTGTGCATAATTGTTGTTTCTCATGTGCCATTCCTTTCAGAGTAAGTGATTTAGAAGCAAGCATAAGTTTGATTTTAAGTGCACACATTGTTACTAACAATACAGTGAGTAATAGGAGCACTGAGCTGTGTGTGGGTAAACAAGTAGCAAAGTTTAAATCTAATTTTATGCTCGACCTTAAGACAAATTACGTGACTGTTGCTTTAAGCAGCAGTTCAATAAGACAACAACACAACAGCTTATTTGTCAGTTACCAGTTAGAATTATCTGTTATGAAAGCACCAGGAAGTTAAATGTAGGTTTTTGTGGAATACTTGTGTGCACTCTGGGGGGGTTGTCCTCTTACGCTGCAGAGTTGGGTGAAAATAAACAAAGAATGATTTGTGTTACACTGTGCTGGACTGTTCAGAATGATGCAATATGGAGCTGGAAGGTAATGAATGAATGGGCCAGAGTCTTGAAGTATAGCGTCTGATAGAGACAGTCCTGGCTCTCAACTTGTGTTTTTATGTTTTGGTTTGGTTTGTTATTGTTGTTGTTTCTCTTTTCATTTTCTAGATTTCTGTAGGAAACTTAAACCTTTTTGACTGAACACATCATTCTTATAAAAGTTTGAGAAATTATGTTGTGGATACACTTACTGGCTTAAGGATAGTGGGGAAAAAGTGTAGAATATCTAAAGATCAATCAATAAATCCAAGGCATTACTTCTATTTTTGCTTGTACACTGTTGTAATGGATGTGGCAAATAGAGTGAAACCATTTAACTAAACCTTCAAATCAACATGCAGTATCAGCAGTCTGATTTGATTCATTTACTTCAAGGGGAGAGATATTGGTCATTTCAATCATTTACCTCAGAGTAACTGTTTTAAAAAAAATAAACATCTTCCACATGTGACTTAGCAAAGATTAGTTCATGATATTGTAGCTCCTTTCCAGAAAAGTACATTTAAGAGTTAATCTTTCAGGTGGATGAGGTGTTGGTTGGCATATCTATGAATTGTTACTTTATCTAAGAAGATGCATTACTAATAATACAAATAACAGAGCAGATTCACAGGTTAAAAACAAACTACTACTACATATGATAACATTTCTTCTCCCTTGTTTTGATAATCAACTGACCAACCAGATGTTACATCCAGATGTAGGGTATTGTAATAAGCTATTGTGGTTTGGTTTTGCTGTCAGTCCCACAGAGTCACTGCCCCTTTTACAAGTCAATTTTGTGCTGATCTTGATAATCATAAAGGGAAAAATCTATCAATAATAAAAGGGAAAGACAGACGTCAGTTATCACATCAACAAGAGCTGAAGATAAACCAGATATAAAATTATTAAATATCAGCACCAGGAACTTTAACATACAGTATGTTTGAAGAAAGGCAGTTTGAAAGGAATTGAATACAGCACAAACAAAAATGGAACATATAGAACATCACAGATAAAAAGTAGTTTAAGTGGATATTTCCTTTAATGGTAATATGTAAAGATTTCTGCTGGGTATCAGACGCATATCCCTGATAGGCTTAGTACTTATAGGTTGCCCCTGTGTGAATCAGGGCACCAGGATTCACAGCAGTTAGTGGATTCCAGTATCAAAGTATCAAAACCTTTCTATAAAATCATTCCTGCAGCATAATCCACCTCTCTGCTGTGGCTCATATGTTCAGTACATTCCTCATACTCGTATTTTCTTCACAGCAGAGCCAAATACATTACATCTGTGTTGCGTTAATGCCTCTAAGCTCCCCCAGAAGTAGCATATTTAGCAACTTTTTGAAGAAGCATTTACAATACTAAATATACACATCAACAGCAGAGATGAGGGACATACTGCAGAAGTATTTTGAGAAGTGTCTGCAGAGAATTTGATACAGTTTGTAGATTCACCATTTGTAGCAGTGAAGCCAAGTTCATCAAGCAGGTGGATGGAAGCATACTTCACATGGCAAACAGTCACTTGGGTTGTCTTAAAACCAAACTGTATGCCATCAGAATTATTTAAAAGTTAGATAGACATTATCACTTGAGAAATAAAAAAAAACAGACTTACACAAGTCACAGGTCTAATTAGACATTAACCCATTTGTGCTCTGTGATGAGAGGTTTTCAATAAACATTCATGTCTGAAAATAGGAGTTATACAATGTGATTGAAGAAAACACTTATTTGCATGTCATTAAGAAATGCATTTAATGACAGCACCTTTCTAGACTTAACACCACAGGTATGTAATATAATGTGTATACTGTGTGTCTCCTTAACAAGACACGTGCATGTAGCTGTGACAGCATATCAACCACCTTTTCACCCCTAACTCTGCAGTGTCAGACTGAAACCTAGCAGGGGAAATAAGTGTGAATGACAGTTTAACAGGATTTTTTCCCCCTCCCCAGTATCCCTCCAACAGCCTCTCATGTCACCCAAACAGAAAGTAGCATTTTGTAATTAAGAGATCCGGCTTAACGCAGAGAGAAGCAGTACCGGTCGGTTATCCCCATCAACAGGTGCATGTCGGCCATGAGTATGTGATGACCATGCAAAAAATAGAGCACTAGGGCAAGAATTAGTGAGACTGTATATGTAAATCAGTAACTGTGTATATAATTACATCTGGCAAAGGGGTTAGTAGGTTTGTTTTGGCTCTTCTCTTAGAGAGGTTTTTTAAAAAAATGCACAAATTTCAATTAAAGTTTCAGAAGCAAATCAACAGCCCAAACGCAGCACTTTTATATACTGTTTTCTGTTTGTTTCCTCCCAGATAAGCAACTGGCATGTGGTAAAAATTCCTCTAAGCCTTAGAAACTCCGTTTTTTTTTTTTAGTCTTACTGTCACTACAGTAAACAGAACAAGCGACAGCAGAGCTGAGTTCTTCTCCAGAAGCATTAAAACCTAATTCGGAATCATACTGGCATTTGTAACAGCTTAACACAAATAACTAAGTACAGTAGCTTATAACATAGCCTTACTCAACAGTATGTTGTGTGGCTCACTTTATATGTCTAGATAATTGATGATAAAATGAAAATAATAAAGGATCAAATAGCATTGTTAATTCAATAATTCTGTATTTAGCAAGCTTTAACAAACATTTCCCATTTGTCATAAGCCCTTAACCATCGTGGGTCTAATTCATGTTTGGAATAACAATGTGGAGGTTTTTACACAGCAGAAAACTTAAGATAAAATGTTTAAAAAAGTACATTACAACAGAAAGCTGGTGTTTATTATGTTTTGTATTGTGCATTGCTCTGTTACTGTTTGTATATGTTACAGTGAACTGTGATTTGTTGTACAATGCACTGTTAACTTTGACAAGGGCAGAGTTAATGTTCTTGCTGGCATTGTTGGTTTGTTTGTTGGATGGTTCGCAGCATAACTCAAAAAGTAATGACTGGATTTTGATGGAAATGTTTTGGAGAGGTAGGGTATGGCCCATGGAACAATTGATTAGATTTTGGTGCTGATCCAGGTCTTCATCTGGATCCAGGAATTGTTTTAAAGAATGTTTCACCATTGTGAGATTGTTGATATCGCTAGTTTTCAGTCACATGACTGGGACTTTACCCTGGAGGACAAAATCCCTTCTGACATGGTGGCTAACACTGGACACATAATGGAATTGAAGCACATGGCTGTTAATTTTCTAGTTATGTTGTATTCAACGGCTCATTAGTTGGAACAAAGGGATCCACTTTGTACTTAAGAGTCGTTCTTTTTATTTATTTTTTCCCAAATTTGACTGCTTGTGTTCTAAATCTACTCAGCTAAAAGACAGAGAGCACATGGGCGGTTGAACTAGCTAGCATGTCATTGAAGAGAGGTGAGTGGCGCTAGCAAAACAAAATAATGAATCACAGAAATAAAACTTTGTTTGTTTCATGGCAGTTACATTGTAAAGCACAAAAACACATGGCCACACCTCTGCACAGCCCTGCACGAAGGACTGCATATGAACGTAGCCAAAGAACTGGCCTCCTGTCCGCCTTGCTGTGGTCTCTGAACTGCACCTTGTGTGTGTAGCTGAGCCCCACACTCGGTCAAACACACACACCTCATATTATGACAATCAGTCTATATGGGGAAAATGAGCTACCTTGGTGAAGGTTTGCGCTCACTGAGTGCTGTCTAGTTGTAACACATTAACATACTTTGTTACAATACGTACACATTTAAGAGTTTCAGTAGAGTGTCACTGTTTCCATTATGATATGTTGAGTTGGCTGTGCTACTGTGCAACACAATATATTTCATTACATGGTATTATGCTGCATTGTGTTGCACTGCATGTTGTTGTGAAGAGCAGAGCAGCACTCTTTTTTCTTTATTGCTTTGACTAAGCTGCACAGGCGGCATCTCTTAAACATGTATATTAAGCCTATTGCTTTAGGGAGGGACAGGTGACTTCAATAAACAGATTCTGCATAGCGATGAGGATAATGCACCGTAAAATACCCATGGTCTCCATACACAGCGGTGTGTGTGCATCATTTTCTCCCTCTCTGTCATGTATATGACCTTTCCATATGAGCTGCCTGGAGACATACTATAGAAATATTATTTAACAAGTCCTCCAAACTAAATGAGCATATACACTCAGTGACAGTTTATTAGGTGTGCCTAGCTAGATCCAATTATATCTAATCCAAAAGTCCTGCTATAAATCCTACTTTCATAACAGTTGTGTTTTTGTTCAAACAGTTTTAGAGAGGTGTTGATTCAGCTGTATGATCATTTTGGAAGATGTAGCCTGTGATGCTGTTGATTTGTATTGTGTTATAATACCATGCTATTTTATGCACCCTATTTATATCAGTGAGCGTAGGCAAATTAACAAAAACACTTCTCCTTATAATGCAAGTTCCCCAGCACCACAAACTACATCCTCAGCACATCAATATATCAGTTTAGATCAACACTAAACATTATATAACCATCATGAAGAGAGGATGTATGGCAGGACTGCTGTATTAGACTGAGTTACTTTTACCTAATAAACTGCTAACTGAGTGTAGGTTACTTGTCCTATCTTCTGATATGACCCATAGGAACATATCTTGAAAAAGTGCCCCATGGTGCCATCATGGTTACAATAATAAACATGCTGTTAAGGTTCTGGAAAATTTAGGCACAAAAACAACTTTGTAAAATTTAGGAAAGGTCTTGGTTTCGATTAAAATAAGTAAATAAGTACTGTGTTAAGTTTAGATTACAAGCATTTCCTAATAAAGACTTGTTTTGTTTTGTTTTTAAGGGAAGGATAGTCTCTAATTTAAATATTCCATTACTGAGCTGGAAGATGCCTTCAAATTACTAACATCTGCCTGAGGGATTTATTGGCTTTGTGTGTATATGTCTATGTGTGTGAATGTGTGTTGTCATGTACATAACACTGTAAGATTAGTGCCCTCATGCGTAACAGCTCATGTAAGTGTGAGAGTAAGTTTCTTATGGTTGGCTGTGCTCAGCTGGGTTTGCTGAAGGGCTATCGTGTTTGGTTGTAAGACCATCTTTCACAGCCTACATTTAGGAGTACGCTTCATCAGCGAGCAGCAAGAGCATTAATCCTTAACCAGTGGAGGTACAGTATGGCTGGTGGGGTTTTCGTTTAGTGTATGCAAATAGTCTGTCACAGGCACATTAAATTCTTGGCTTAGCTGTTTTTCTCTCTGTATGTCTAGAAAACATGGCTAGTGTGGTCACAGCATCGACCAAGCTGTGTACAAACACACACAGTAGGTGTACAGTACCTGCTGGATACCGCTCACCATTCCCCCTTGGAAAAGACAAACACGGTGGTGTTCATGGTGTGAGCAACTTGGGCCACTGTTTCTAACCATTTTTTTGTAAATGTCTGGTAAAAGTCCTGTATTTTTACTGCTTTTACATTGTTTTAACAATTTGATAATAATAACTTGTAAGTACTGATTAGCTAGCAGTCTGATGGGTTTTGGATGAGTTTAGTAACCAAAGTGTCGAGTATGGTTTACTAATCATAGTGCATTAATAACCACCACAGCACTTGCTATTAGAAACTGAGACAGTCATGATTTTAACTAAGTTAAACCATGGTTACTTTGTGAGTATACAAAAAAAAAAAACAAGCAAACAAAAAAACTAACCACTATCTCCTGGTTTCATGCATTTCTGTAAAACATTTTTCAAATGCCTTAGAGTTAAGAGCAGAAATATTTAATAAACAATGTTAGATTGTATTTCTTTAACATCAAGCCTGAATTTTTAGTATGATGTTATTACAAATGTCAGTGGGATTTTGAATGAGGTCTTCTTACTTCTTTAACAGGAGTAAGTATCAGTGCAGAAATGAAGGATAAAAGGTGGCTACCTGACCCAAGCTGGACGGGATCCATCAGTACCTGAGAGTTTGGGTCAGGTTCTGACAGAAATATGTGGCCCAGCCCTTATTGTAACATAGGACAGCAGTAGATCTGATGCTGTGCAGCACATTGACCAATGGTAATGTTTCACTGCCAGCCAGCGTGCTTAGACAGAAAGCAGGGAGCTTTGGAAACCTGTTGACAGTCCCCATCATTTCCATCCCACTGAACTGTGCAGAAAATAAATAAACTTGTTGACCACATTTCTCACCATATGAAAAGCATGGTTTTATTTAAACACACACAAAATAAAAAAAAAGTTTATTATTTACTACAACTCTTTTGTTGTTTTCTGCTTCAGGGCTTTGTCCCTGCAGCAGTAGTGGCATGCTGGCAGTGTTATGTAGGTGTGATCAATGTCTGCAGGCAGCGGGTGCTGGCAGGAGAGGCAGAGCTACGGTCAGAGTGACATTGGTCATTTTCTCTCTGAACAGTTCACATTTAGTGCAGAGAAAGGGAATTAAATCTCATGGCTTGATCAATTTAAAGACCTGCCTTTGGCACCTTTTTTTCCTCTGTGCAAAGCTGACGATGAAAATTCTGACCTCTCTGATTATGTTCTTTTGGTTTGTAGAGAGCAAAGTGAAAAGCTGAGTAAGCAGGTGTCTTTCCTTTGATTCAACTGGGACCACTAAGAGAAAACCTGTGCTATGACTGATGTGGCTAAAGCTATCACAAAAGCTAAATTCTTTGTGTATACAAATCGGATGTAGGATTATTAGGATTATTTTCTTCCATCAATTCTATAATCAAATGTTTGAAATACTTATAGCAAATCAAAAATATGCAAATCATTAAATATGTGTAAGGAATGACAATGCCATTGCAATCTTTTGATTAACAGCCAACTCCTGAAATATACTGCCTATATTGTGCATAAATATGCCCTACTGTACAGCATCATGTGTGTAACACTGTGTAGATAAGGTACATGTAAATTTGTGGAAACTGAATCGTTACAGTGAGGAAACCTCTAAACTCAAACACAGATGCACCTGACTACAAAAACCTGTAATTTCAGTTTCTGCAAAAGTTGAATGCTGTTAATTTGACGGAATGATTAAAGTGGCCAGAGGCCTGAGATATTTATTTGTGCAGAACAAATTATTACAAATGTTACACTTCATACCTGCTGGGCTCCAGAGTAAATAGAAAATTTTATTAAAAGGAAATGTGGAACAAACCTAGTAGATAGTAAAGGTATGCATTTCATTCTGCAAAGCTTTGGAAAAGGTACATCTTGTAGTGCTTGTACTTTGTCCAGCACTGCAGCTCTGAATGAAGAATTCCTTGGGGAAAAAAACGTTGCCAGTGAACATAAGTCACACATTATCTATAATACATGCAAAGTGTATTTGGCAAGCCTGTGAGTAGCGTACTGGATGACACACCTTCTGTACACACACAAGATGCAATTCCCAGGAAATTGTCCACATTTAATTTGTTGTACAAATGAGATGTAGGCATTCTTTGATTATGGCGCACTCTTTGTCTTCCAGACATCGACGAGTGCACTTTGCAGACACACACCTGCTGGAATGACAGTGTCTGTGTGAATCTCCCAGGAGGCTATGACTGTGTGTGCACATCTGGCCCAGGCTGCAGCGGCGACTGCCCACAGGAAAAGGGAATTAGACGCAATGGAGAAGACTGGAAGCCCAGCTTTGACCGCTGTGCTATATGCTCCTGCAAGGTACAGAAGATGAACACACACACACACACACACACACACACACATAAATGCATTACAATGGTGGGTGTTCACATCCTGGTGGAGGATCAAAATTCAGGGTTTTCACTGTAGCTATGATCTAAAACCCTACCTTGCTTCCATGACTTCCTGTAATCAAGCTTGTTAATATATGATTCAATCATCCAAGGACCAAGGGCAAGCACTAATACATGATAGGCAAGATTCATCAAATTCTCTGACAGGCCCTGATTTTTATAGACATTTTATCAAATTACTTCATTTTATTTGTATAAAATACATCCGATATTCCAGAAACCCCATTAGTGGTGAGGAGACAGCTGATTAATCGCTTCCAATATAGTAATTCTTACAGCACCTCAGGCTCAAAAACACACACATAACATGAGTAGTAAGAAAGGAAAAGATCTGAACCAGACTTAGAAATGGGAGAGAGATGGGATGAGTTGGATGAAACAGCAATATAGAGAACAGAAAATGAAAATGAAAGTTGGGGGATGGAGCACAGAGGGTGGTGGTCTGGTAGATATGGAGCACCCAGTAAGGGCCTTTCTCTTCTGATTGCTTGTCTTGCTTTCATTTCAGCAAACTGGTAAAGTTTTCTTACCCTTAAAGGATCAGTCTAGTTTATTATAACTTTGTAGTTTTTTCCATCATTTATTAGTTATCACAACAACGAATAAGGCGACAGCTGAGATCTGAGAACACGGCAACATCGATAATACAATAAAGCGCCACGGGTTGTAAATGAAGAAATGGTTGAGCCAGATCATCTAGTTGGTTATAAAACTGAAAGTGAGTGCATCAGTAATAATCTGTAACAATCCCTCATTGCTCAGGAAAACTCTGGTGGGCACAATTATGTCAAGTACAGCAGGTTTGATGGACCAGGAAGTTTGTCTATAAACTGTCCTTTTTACAACAGACAAAAGAGATGATCATTTTACTCTTCACCTTTGTTTTTTTTACTGCAAATAAGAATAAGACCCACATGACTGTCTGGCCTGCCAGACCTAATTTTAACCCTTTCAGTGTATTAGCAGATCTCAGCGGTTAACTTGGAGAGTGCAATGTTATCATCACTGGAAGCAAACCCAGATTTTTAATGAACCAGAATTATTCTGTAAAGACTTGAAATCCAGTTTCATTGATGCCAATCCTAACCTACATCCTACATGTACAGTGTGAATAGTTATAAACACAAAAATGAAACACAAAATTTCACTTTTTTGACCATTCTTACCTCAAGACCAAAATGTGAATCATACAGGGTTGGCTCGAGGAAAAACACCTCAGTGCCAATTTGTTTGTCATTATCCTGTATTATATCTGACACATTTGTGCCAGCTTATCAACTCATTACTGTGCTCAGGAGTCAGAATGAGATGGTACAACAGGGCTGCAGTCAAGTGAAATTATTGATCAGATTTGTGTTTGGAAGGTGAGGTTTTGTGGGTGGCATTAATAAAAAACAGAGGAAAATGGCTACTTGAAATAAAAAGACAGCTGAGAGCAGTGGAGGAGTTAAATGTAGCATTAAATATTTTCTTTCATGTCAGGTGCCAATTATACAGATATTTGCTGTGCATACATTCACAAGGGTATTTCAGATGCAAGTTGTTGCATCTAAAATAGACCCATCACTCACAAAGAGCAGTGTGGAGAAAAGAGATACAAGTGAGACGCAAGTGACAAGGTCTGCTCACACCGGTGATCAGTGTTCAAGATGCATTCAGGATCTGCCGCCCTGCATTTTGCATTCTGACAGTTGAATTAGGAGTTTAGTCAAACGTAGGAGTGTAAACAGAAAGCGATCTGGTTTCTGGGGACCAAACACTGAAAACCGTTGGCCTGGGGTTTCATTTATAACCACTGTATATGCACAAATTAGGGCTTGAAATGTGTGTTCTGCTTCCCCTGAAAAAGTCAAGATTTATAAACACACGTGACATGAGAATGTGCACATCTGTACGGAAACTTTTGGCAACACAGGTGGTGAAGTAGTGAGCTGAAGTCAGATTTAGTAACTGTTGTACTAACAGCTATTACAGATGTCAGCCTCTCAAAGCATGTTTTGTTCATAACACTGCCTCCGTTCTCCACAGATATTGAAGATGACCAGGTCAAAAAAATTTGACTCTTTCACAGACGTGAAACAATCAATTATTTTGTTGAACATGAGATAAAGATTGAGTGGTTTGCTATAACTGAGATTTGTAAATGAGAGGCTATAATCAGACAGAACTAGTGGCAAATTAAATAAAAGCTGAAACTTAAGAGCAAAGATCTTCCTTATTCAGCTTTCACCACGTTATGCAGGGAAAATTGAAAACATAAAACTGAGTTAAATAAGAGAATTAGATTGCAGAGTTCTACAAAAGTATCCCTCAAGGACCAAAAGGTTCTTAAATTAAATTACTTAAATTACTTTCACAGAAAATGGCTCTAGAGAGAAATAGCTCTTCAAAGGACTGTGCTGAAAACAAGTCATACCTATTGATAAAAATGTCATCAAATTAATCATAAAGTTGTTGTCACACAGACAGCTAATAGTGTGTAGTCAGTAAACACTAAATGCAGTGTTTCTTGGATGTTTAATGAAGATTCACTTTCTTTAAAACTACAACAAATATACAAATGGCAAACAGAAATCAAAATACATCTAGCATACCTTATATATGTAAAATGTGAGGTTTCAAACGTTTAGAAACCGAACATTGTGAGCTAATTGCTATTTTACGGCTATGAAAGCTCTAAATAAACTCACTCAAATGTCTAGATTGAAATTAAATTAAAAATGCAATAGTTAAATTCTGCTTATAATATCTAAAAAGTGATTAAACAAAAATACAGACAAATAATGTCCAAGACAAGAACGTACAGAGGTAAAATAGCAGCAGGAGCAGCAGTCACTCTGTGTTTTCTACCACGCCTCATTAAGTCTGAGAATTCCCTGCTCTAGGACACTGTTGCTCAATGACCAGGGGGGCACTGCAGTACATAAAATTATATATTACATTTAAATGTGCTAAAATGAAGGGCAGAACAACTATGGTGTTGTTTTGATTTGCACAACAGTGCAGCATTGGCATGCAGGCCTGGTGTTATTCCTGGCTTTACAAGCCAGCCTCTGTCTTTGTGTATATCCTGCCAGTGCAGTACGACTGGCAGTAATTTCCCAGTACATCCAGGGCCGTAGCTGTAAAGACCAAGGCCATCGGTACTGGCACCCTGGGACTCGTTTGCTACTGTAGCAGGACAATATGCATCAATAAAACACTGACTCTGTATTGCCCTTTTAATGGTATACGGAATGATTTTATGCCCCCCATAGATTTTCTAACAGCCATTTTATGTAACATTTTTACATCTCCATTACACTGTTGTCCTCAGGCCAGACGTGCTGGCTGTGTTGAATAAAATGCACCATAAAGTTTTCTCTGGGTGGAGACAAAAAGCCAGGCACACGGCTGCTGGAGATTCCTGCAGACCAGACAGATCCCTCTGCATTTGTGTTTGTATTCCAGCTCAGGCATCAAACCTCACTTCATTCACCGATCTAATAACCTGCTTTTAAAAAATGGAGGTGTGACAGTTGCAACAACACATTAAGATGCTATGTAGGCATGCCTACCTTGAATAATCTGCCTAAATGATCTAGCATGCAAATCTGATAAATAGTTCTCAATAAAGGCATCTGAGAGAGGTTTTAAATATGCACCTTGATCATCATCAAGTCTTTGCTGTGTTTTCAACTGCAACTTTCATTATTTAACGTAGAATTTTCCATTCCAGTCAGTAATGATATTTAAGCTTGCCACCCCTCTATCATTAGCTTGGTATCTTGCTATCCTTTGTTGCTAAATGGTACTGATGTGAATTTGTGCCTGTTTGTCAAAGACAATAAGACATTGTTTGGCAACAACAGAGAACTTAGCCTCAAGAAAGATTTCAAGCTACTCAGTATTTGTTCACATTATTGTAGCTTTTATATGCACCTTAATTAATATTTATTTAAAGTACGTCTGGGCCACTGATTTATTTTGTTTTGCTGAGAAGTCCACCTTCCTCACAGGAGCTACAGGGATGTACTGTACTTTACTGCCCACAGTTTGAAGTGGCTTGTAAAGCTGAAGTCTCCATCAGCAGTATTTCTTTGAATTAGGCTACATACATCAGTGCGACACTATCACAACCTGAGTCTGTTTCCCCTTTGACCGCTGTGACCTCTGTTGTGCAGGACGGGCAGACGTACTGCAGGAGGAGACCCTGTGACTGCGGAGACCCAGACGAGGATGTGCTCTGCTGTCCCGGCTGCGACAACAGGCCCAGCAGCCAGTGTCTGGACACACTCTACCGCAGTGGAGCATCCTGGCTTTATGGCTGCCAGCAGTGCCGCTGCGTGGTCCGTATGCAGAAACATACATTCACACAAAGCTACATGTATTTTACCAACAGAAATGAAAGCTGATCTTTGTGTTAAATCCTTGAGTGTGATGAAAGAGATGACATCAAAAACACAGACTCTCCTCCATCAGCATTAAGCTCAGAGCTGAGCTTTGTTAAATGCCTAGCCCTGATGTACTGCTCTGCTGTGTGCGGAGGGCTCAGATAATTACCACCTCTTTAATTAGAGATGTGGCAACAAATCAGCATGTGAGCTGCAACAGATGTCATACTGGCTGATTCACATGCAAAAACATTTCTGTTGCTGTTTTTTCTTCCTGACTCTTTCTCTCTGCAGGAGGGGGAGGTGGACTGCTGGCCTCTGGTTTGCCCTGTGATGATGTGCGAATACACAGCAGTTGCGGAGGGTGAGTGTTGCCCGCGTTGCGTCACTGACCCCTGCCTGGCCGACAACCTGTCATACGATATCCGACAGACGTGCCATGACCCTGCAGGCATCACCCGCCTCAGTGGAGACACATGGCATATGTCCAACTCACCCTGCACCACCTGCAAGTGCAAGGTAGGACAAAGCCTCAGCAACCATGATGAAGGTTGGCTCAGCAGTCATGTTTGATTTAACGCAAGTGTGGCTAATTAAATGTTCATCCTAAAATTCATAACAAACTAAGAGTTTGCAATGTTTTCCAGCTTGTCCATCCTAGCAACGTTACCATTATGAATGTAGCTTTGATAATAAACATCTTATGTAGTCAGAGAAGCTTGGTTTAGTACATATTAATCCACACCTACACAGTGTTTCTGTTAAGCATAAGCATAACAGGCTATTGGTACTTGTGGAAATGACTTGTGGAATAGTGACTTTAGCTAATGTGTGTTTAAAGATAGGCAGTGTCAGCTCGTCTTCTAAGATGAATACAAAAGAAAAAGAAAAGAAAAAAGGAAATCTGACTTCCACAGATGATGTAAGGGACATTCAATCTTAAAAGAACAAAATATGTAGATTACTGTGTCAGGAACATGTCACCATAACTCAGATCATAACTAAGAAAAAATATTCCGTTTTCCTTCAGTCACCCCCCCTTTTTTTTATTTAGCTATCAAACTTTAGATTATCCAAAAGAAGCACATCAAATATATGAACCTACTTCATAACATCACATTTCATTTCATTGTTTTCTATAGTAGAAACTTTGGATACATTGGCTCAAGAAAGCCACTGGCCAGTCACAGCAACAGGTGCACTCACATGCACCGTGGTCACACTGTACTTGTCATATAACATTATTTTAAAGCTGTGCAGATAGTTTTATGTGCTAGAGTTTAGAGGTACCCTTTTCATAAGGACTATTTTTCAGTAGAAAGTAGTGGCAATGGAAAGTGTGACACTGTGACAGTGAAGTATGTTGATTATCTAGAGTAACTGGAGCCTTGTCTGTGGAAAGCTGTTGAGTTTCTCAAATTTGTCACCGCTTAGAGCCACACATCCCAAACTCTGCTCGCTTTCAGTGCACTAGAGCGGCAGCATAACTCTCAGAGACTGATTTCTCAAAAGTACAGCACATATTGCTGTAATGGAGTGACTAGATGCCAACGGTAGCAGGGGAAAAATACAGGATGTTCTTTTATAATGTGTGTAAACGGATCATTTACTGACACTGTAGACATGTTAACATAATGCAGGCTCGCTCTGTGTTATGGCTCTATTTTTTTTGACTTATTATGGCCAGCCAGGCTCTGAATAGCATTGGTATATTCAACACGTACAGCATATTATAATACACTACAGTATGATCAATACAGTCTCTCACTCTTCTTTCCTGTCTTTTCATGCTGGCACGCTCAGAATGGGAATGTCTGCTGTTCGGTGGATCTCGACTGCCTTCAAAACAACTAAAGTTCTCCTTCTGTCTTCTCCTCTTCCTAACATCTTCCTCTCCTCGTATCACTGTGGGACTGCCACACCCCCTCCTCCATCTGACACCTCTCCCCTTGGATTCACAGAACAGACTCGCGCACACACAAGCATGCCAGCGTGTGCGTAGAAAATACAAACACACACTGGACAGACTGGGATGTTGAGGCTGTGCTTTTATGCCACAACTCTGTCGACTGTGTGTGTGTGTGTGGGTGGGTGGCTCAGGAGGAGGCTGAGGCAATAGTCGCTCTCTCCACAGTCACTGTGTTGTGTATGTATCTTTGTGTTGCTTCTATTTCACTGCATCTCGAGGAAAGCTGTTTAGTGTTACGACTCGAACACCAAACCAGAGACAAGCAGCTGAATGTTATGAGTTGTCATAAACAAAAGGTTTCACAGCTGGACAGATGTTGAGGTGCTCCTGTTCCCTGGGTTGACTGAACGTAGGCTTGGTCACCTACAGGAGGTAGTCACAAAACTTTTATTGTGGTAAACAAAAGTGATTCATTTTCTTTTACTACAATGCTGTGCTGTACAAAACCTTCTGAAACAGCAGGTAGTTTAATGTTGACATAAAACTCTGGAAAGTAAAGAAAATTTACTTCCACTCTTATTAAGCAGGTTCACTTTCCAACTTGGTTCCAAATGCTCTGGTGAAAGGGACGTTTTCATCGTCCTTTACCAAATATGTTTCATAGTTTACCCTGACACAAACCTTACCCTAGACCTTTAGAATGCTCTAATTTGTCTTTGACCTAAGTAAATTTGAATATCAGTGATGAAAAGATTTTTCTTCTCTGACAAGTAAAAAAAATCCAAATTTATTCACCTTCATTTTAACTATAACTTGTTTCAGTGCATCTACAGTGGTGCATAGCTTCTCTTTACATTCAATTGTGCCTACAGTATGCAACAAAACTGAGTACAGCCCTGTGCAATATCATTAAAATGTTAAATGACTCAAAACTGCACAGTCATATACAGTATATAATTGCATTATTTTTTACAATGAGGTGTAGGGTATTTGATTTAATGTGCAATTAAACACAAACAAAATAGCTAGAGTACACTGACAATAAGACCCCCAAAGTACAACCTCAGCACAATACAAGTGAGTTTACCTGTGATCAACAAAAGTGACTGCACCTGTGGTTTCCAGTTGAGGCCATCTACACCACAGCTTTCTTAATGTTGACCAGGGTTCTCCCTAAGGCAACATGGCTCCATATTGTAAGGAACTGTCTGATCAAGTAAGAAATTAGATTTTGAGAGTTCATAAAGCTGCAAAGGGGGTACAAGAGCATCAGTAGGCTACTAAACATAAGCCAAAACACAGAAGAGCCATATCACCAAGAACATAAGGAGTAGTGGCTGTCCTCAAAAAAAATCATAGCTTTTTATGCAGCCATGAGTTGAGACTGATGAATGCCTCTGGGATGGCACAAGAATTAAATGGGGAAATTGGTGTCTCAGTGATACCAAAGAGTGTGCATGCAGCCAGCCTCTACAGATGGTGTCTAAGAAGAAAACCATTATTCACAAAATGTCACAAAACTGCAAGATAAAACTTTGCAAAAAACATGAAGGGAATCCTGGCCAGTATTGACAGCACATTCTCTGATCAAAGAAACCAAAATAAATTGGTCTGGATGAGGCGTTTTTTTTGTGGGCCTGGCCAGGGCTACCACAGTGACTGCGCAGTTCCAACTATGAAATATGGAGCGTGCAGTGTGCTGACGTGATGCATGAGTGCAAAAGGTTCACCAGAACTAGATGGCTGAATGAATGAACAGGTGACTCCCAGTCTCAAGGCCTTGGCGGGAAAGGACATTTTAACATGACAATGATCCTAATCACAGTGCAAAAATCACACATCAATCACAAATCAAAGAGTTCTTAAAGAAGAAAACCATGTCCTGGCCCCCTGAGTATTTAAAAGAATAGAGCAGCAAAAAAAAAGTCATAAATATCCTCCATGCCCAGGAGGACTGAATCTCTCATCAAATATAAAGATGGACATACTGTACAAAATACAGAAGAAAATATAAATAAATAAAAGAATGGAATCTCACTAATGGAAGGCACACTACTTTTGTTGAGGTTGTTTTATGTATATGAGCCTTTTGTTATAGCTTTAATTAGTCAGTCATTTCTTTTTAAAATCATTTGGCTTGTGCTTTTAGTAAAATCAAATACAATTATTAAATTGACAGGATTTAAAGTACATACGATTTTAGTAATACTGCGGAGTGTACTCAGTTTTGTTGTGCATTGTAAATGTTTTATGGCATTATTTGCTGCTCCCAATTCAGAAACTGCATTCTGTGATGTGCATGTTTCTAGGAGGAGCTGGCATTGCCTGTCCCACTTTAAAGGATTCTCCTAACATGGCTATGAATTGCAGCCACCTTTTAACCACAGCAACATTTTTTTTTGTATTGCAGGCCTCAGTGCTCCACAGTTCATTGTGAACTGACCATTTGTTCAGCTGAACATTTAATCGATTCTCATCAAAGTCAGAAAATAGTAATATTTATTGACGCTGAATAAAATGTACCAGTTGTCAATTGTGATTTGAAGTGGAACAAACTGAATCTTGGTGTTGTCATAAGCTGAAATGCATTGGTTTCATAAGTTTGTCTCAATACTACAAGTGTTGCTGAAGCTTTGATTTCTGATAAGTAGCTCCTGATTGCACTGCTGGTCTCTGTGAGGCTGGACTGTGTCACCTGGAAAAAGAGGTTCAGTCTTGAAGTTTCAGTGTTCTGAACAACAGCATCTGAAATCCTTCCCCTTTCCAGCTTTTGGTGGAGGGGGGAGGGGTGTGTATCTGACACTATCTGTAGCTCTCTGAAACAGGCAATCTGACAAGCATGCCCTCTTCAAATGGTTGTCCAGGTATGTGGAGCTGAGAATGCATGCAGGGTTTGAGCTTCCCTCTTAAGCTCAGCTACCTGAACTTTTCACCGTTTTCCCCATTTCTACGAATCATGATGATGGGAAACTTTCTTTTTGCCTCTCCTTTGAGCATGGCTATTTGGAACAGGTATAAACATTGCCTTAGTTGTAGTTGGACAAAGTAGTTCATTTCAAGTTCAGTCTTAAGATGGGGGATGGATCTCATTCAAATAAAGATGCAGGGTCTGATTTGGGAAATATCTGCTGTCTGTCCTGGTGAGCCTGTCTCAGACGCTTTCCCTCAGCTCCACTGTCTTTTCTCTGAGTTTAATTTCCAGATAGCTACGTATAACAACAGGCGTTCTATCCAAAGTATGTAAAAGCAGTGTAATGTTGCACAACTGATTCCAGTAGGCAGCAACAAGCACCAGTCATAGCTGGTGATTAAGTCAGCTGAGCTTGTGAAGGGTTGGACTTCTCTGGTATCTCTTAGGGCTCCTCAGCACTGAACCATATGGCGCGCACACAGAAAGTGGCAGAGTGCGGATAATTAAAGCCATGTCACGCAGCCCGCTATTTTAGTATGCCAGGAGGTTACCAAGTGTCGAATCTGTTTACAGATGGCCAGGCTTATTAAGGCAGGAGAGTCTGGTGATTTTCCTGCCACAGTTCATACGTTCACATCGCTGACACTGCTCTGCTCTCCTCGCCTGTCCTCTCCTCTATTATCCTCATGCTTGTCTTGATAGCACTAATGAAGAAGCAAGAAAAAGGAAAGAAAGGACAGAGGGGATTTCTAACAGTCTTAAAATTTTGTGAAATGAGCACAAAATTAGCAAATTTGTAAACTACAAAAAAAAAAATCTTGGCATGCCAGGTTCACCTACTGGTGGGGTCAAAAAGTTATTTAGTTAACTTTTGTTATACTTGTTAGCACTTATCAGTTGATGTTCAGTAGAATAATTGAGTCAAAGAAGGTTAAGAATAATCTGTTTCTTATCAAAACTAGTTCCCACTGTCAAGGTCCTCTCTACATTTTCTTCCTCTTCTTTGATTTCTCTGCACACTATCAGGATATTTGCCTGGACTCCTTTCCCTCCTTAAGAAGAAAAAAGGTTACAACAAAACTGATAACTCCACCACTGAAGCCCTAAAATATACTAGCCTTTCCCATCAAGGTCAGGGTTGATAATAAACTTTAATGACTAATTCAAACTGCATGATTGTTACTATTTTCTTATCCTAGATACATTTTTTAGACCTCAAACCTTTGTCATGAGCAGTCGCACCCACTACAACATATTTTTTTCATATCCCAGAACAAGATGCTCTTGTAGATTTAGGAACAGGAGGTGAACAGTATCATGTGAGAGCACAATAAGAATGTGAAGGCAAGATGTGAGGAGAACAGAAAATACACGACTACAGAGAAATGTATTGTGTGTTTTTGTTCAATTTCACAACGGCTGGCTCCAGTCTAGGACTTCTCCAAATGGAAAATGTTGTCATCAATACACCTCATCTTCATTTGTGCAACAGAGTAACAGTCTGTAAAATTTCTTGAACTGAGAGCAATACTACAATTGTGAGGTTTTTAAAATGTTGTAGTCTGCACTAGCTATAATGGGAAAACTCTGATGTGTTTTATTTGGAACTGGATCCGGCGTTAGGGGTGACCTCAGTCTTTGGAGTTGACCATAAAACACTCTGCCGTTTCCATCCTGCTGACCTTCTGCTTTTTAATGTCACACTGGTTCTTGTTCCTGGTTGTTCCTGATCACTCACAGAAAACGTACAGAAATATATTTTCTGCCCTTTCATCCACAGGGCACATTGTTTGGATTTGAAAACATAGTGGTCATTTCACAGACTTTTGGAAAAGGTTGTTTATCCTCTGGAGGAGACAGTGGAGAGCTTTGAGGTGGAGCCTCCCAGACCGCTCAGCCACAGTATCTTATTGTTGTCTTTCTTTGTCAACACACCTATGTAGTTCTCACCTGAGCATTTCTCTTTCTACTGTCCCCCATTTTCACAATGCCTCTTGTAAAGCTAAAATTGTCACCTGTGCACAAAGTATACACACAGAAGAAAAACACGTGATGTAAATGGTATCTGTACCCACAGCAATCAGAAGCAGACATTTATACAAAAGATTACTGAAAACAAGGTTTTCAGATTGCTCTGTTGATTGATTTGATATGATGACTATTGTAAAACACTATTTGCAAGTCTGTGTGTAAATGTTTTTACATACTGACAATGTGATAAAATTATACAGTTTTTTAATTATTGTGTTCATTAATGACGTGTTAATTTTAGTGGACTCCTTTCTTTAGTGAGATAGATTCTGTTTTGCTGTAAATACTGTGTAAAGCAAAGGGTTCTGTAAAGACAATAAGAAACTGTTAATAATTCTCACTACCACAGCTTCTTAGGATCTGTGCATTGTAAGCCGAGTATGAGAGAGAAGCGGTATTTCTATTGTTTTTACTATTTATTTTTCTATTGTTGCCTTAACCCTTTTAGTATCTGTCATAGTTTGTCTTTTCACTGTTGTAGGACAACATTCTGGACTAGACTATCCCGTGTGTATGTACAGATCTCTGATCAGTGTCCCTCACTAAAGTGTCAACAGAAGCAGGTTTTGGAAATCAGAATGAGCGTAGCCCAGCGTCTGTTCCAGGTGTCGTTGCAAACAGACGGGGACAGACTTTTCATCGCATTGACAAGCTATTTCTTTCCATTTGTTCTACACACACATCTGTATGAAGTGAACTGAAAAAACTCTTCATGACAACAAGACAAAATAGAACTATGTACACATGTTTGAAAAAAAATCGAATGTTGAAAATGATAATGTTGTTCTTGATTCCGTTCCTACAAAAAAGCGAGCCATTGTGTATCTCCTTAAATGTCTGACTTTTTAAAAGAAGCTGTTTTGGACCTTCTAGAGCCTACTGTACTTGTTCATGTTTTTGATAGAGAACTGCTGTGGAGGAATCCCCCAGGTCTATTCATTGTTACTTCTCCAGATCAAAGTGGCCAACCTAATTGTACTCAAAGGGTTAAGTGTCATTTGACTTGCAGACTGTGTCGTGATAAGAGTTTGCTGTAAAAAAGAAAAAAAAAACAAAGAAAAAATCTTCAGTTAATAAATATTTTAGTTGTTTACTCTATTTACTGTGAGTACTTGCTTTTGGCATTTGAACTTTCAGCTTTGCTGCTAGATGAGGTTTCAGGGTACCAACACAAATGCAGGACAGTATGTGGCATAATCATGAGAGCTGCCTGAACAGCTTGCCATGGCGCCACCCACAGGCAGCTTAAACCAAAGCAGTGTGTCTAAGCCTCAGAAATGAAAGCCAATCCCAGTATCAGGACACGGTTCTGTAAAAGTCTTTCATGTCTCTACTTTTAAAATACTGCTGTTTTCCTTGTCCCTCAGGAAATATATGAAAGGCTGTATTGCAGTAAAGGTAAGTACATCCTTTTGATTCCTTAACAGAGCGCTATTGTACTGTTAGCAGCAGGTACAGAAATGCTTTTGAAGCTACACTGTAGGAAAAAAATTGAAAAATGCACAATGTAGAACCTAATGTTTTATATATTCCTGCAGCATGACAATCAAAAACACGCAATCAAGTCTTACTATTATTGGGAGGACACTCATTGGAATAAACCATTCCTTGCAACCTTGCCCTAATACTTAACCATTACAAAATATACTGTAGGGATTTGCCAAATTAAGTCAGCTTCATCCTGTGTGTATCATGAATGTGATCACAAGCCATTTGGTGGAATATTCAGTCTGAAGCAAAGTGATGGACTGATCACCAAACAATACACTGCCAGCCCCAGAACTACATATGTCACAAGTGTGGCTATGGGTGCTGAGTGCAACATGCATAAGTATACAATTCAGTCTGCTCTTCATGCGTTCATTTGGTTTTTAGTATTTTTGTGATTAAGCAGTGCAAAAGGTGCATCCGCAACCAGGTCCTGGGTCCCAGTACTGTGCTATTGATAACCAAAATCTTTTCTGCACCTTAATTTGGTCTTTTAATGCATAAACTTAGTACATGGGAAACAGGATGCAAACTGAAAGCTCCAGTATCAAAATCTCATACACTGCTTGTCCAGTCCTGACCCGATCTCCTCCTTTTGACAATGCAAGGGAATGCTATCCGTGCAGCAGTTACATTTCATAACTCTGAATATGTTTATACTGAATATAGATGTGATATAGTTAAAACTGCATTGTTATAATGTTGTATGCAAATACTATAACATTGATATGATTATCATTATGATTATTACTATCTCGTGTTGTATCTGAAAACTGCTAAAATGTAAAGACCTTTTTTCAGTTAAAATAGAATCTAAAGATGGAAGAGTTAGATATCTACTAGAGGTGTCTAAAATTAATCTTACCCCAAACACACTAGAGAATACAAAATTATAACATACAGATACTGTTTTGTTACCACTCCTATTGCATTTCCATGACCATATCCTTGCCACAGATCAGTGTGAACATCTTTATCACAGACAGTGAATTGAGATGCCTTTGGGGGAGTCTTCTCTAGTGAGCAACACTGGGGAGGGTTCAGTCAATTAACCTGCTGTCAGTCAAGTATAAAAGTAAGTGCACTGTTCCCTCCACTCTGTCTGTCACAGTCACGGTGAATGGTGGCCCTGTGCCCCCTGTCCACCCTGATTTCTGCTCCCCTTGGCTGGGGGGGGGTGGCACCACCCAAAAGTGCTTACCATTCATGGGCTGGAACTGTCGAGGTTGTCACAGAGGTGATAGAGTGACTCCCTCAGCAACAACTCTCATCTGCAGAGGGGAGGGAGAGGGGGGGATACAGTCGGCATCTTTGCATACGTACATTGAATGATTAACAGCGCACAGTTGAAAATTACTTTTTCAATCAGCTCTTATTTAACTTATTTGTCTTGCTGTTCCTGATAGATTGGTTAGTATAGAACAACTGAGATAGTAGTTTGGCATCAGTTCAAAAAACAGAAAGGATGCCCTCTTCTCCACCTCCAGCAGTCACATCGATCAGTTTCTCCTTTTTCTATTGGCATTTCATGAAAACCCAGGGCAGCTAGATTCAAATGCAAAAGGCAACAAATGCATGTGCTCCCCCTCAGGCTGAGAATTGATACATAAACTATATGCATGTTGCTCATGTTAGTACAACAAGGACTAAGCTGCTTAAATGCCTTATCGACAGCCTGACCAATCAATGTGTGTATAATTAAAGCGTGCAGCTGAGCAAGTGACAAAGCACACCACACCACCACTATTGACTTGTGGTCAGATGGCTCAGCTAAGTGTTTATTTAACTCTGTGTCACGGTGTGTGTCTGAGCATGTATGTGAAAAGTGAAGAGAAGAACAGAACCAATAATATTTCTGCTAAAGGTAAAAGTATACATTGTATACCTAAAAGTGTTTAATGTGATGACAGTCTGTTGTAGGAGAATCCTGTATCAGCATATGAACTGAAGTGCAATTGACCCATGTATCCATAAATAAAAGAAAAAGGTGACATAAGAGTATAGTTACATATATAGTTACATAAGACATAGTTCTAGTCTAAATAGGTTTATTTACACATATGCACAAGAAGGAGAAAGGATCTGGATGTGATGTGCCTGACATGGTATTAGGGATGAGTGGACTTGGTGAATGAATAAAAAACAAGCTATTGGTTAGCGTTGGTGGAAAATGAGTTAAAATCATCTAAAGTCACAATAGATTTTGGATCTAAATGTTATAATTTGGAGGGGAAAATAACTGTTTCTATAAGTTATGGGGGTTAATTTAGGAGCGACTACAGTTTATGAGACATCATCTAGCCATGAGGTCACTTAAGACCCTTTTCTACCACCTGGTATCGGCTCAACTTAACTCGACTCGATTCACCTTATTTGTATTTCCATCAGTCGAATGTTGGGGACAGTACCTGGTATGGTGGAAAAACTTAGAAGATCTTTTAACACGACTACATAAAATGAGGACAAGAGACACTGATGAAACACACACTTTGAAAACAACCTCTGACTGCTTCTGAGATGAAGGAAGGCAGCGCTCACCTAGTAATTCATTAGCTTGAACCGAAGATCTCGTCCGATTTGTCAGCACTCTGTAGACTGGAGTCCTCTGAGACTCTGTTGTTATAGAAACACTTTCCTGGTTGGTTCTTTTGGACGTGCACTGTGGAAACATTCATGCCCCATGTTCTTATTAAAAGAGAGGAAGAAGTTTTCCTACCTACTGATTGAGTTAAACATATCTAGATATCATTTATCAGCTTTACTAAACATCTTTAAACTTATGTTTGGACATTCCACACAACTTTGTTAATATAAGTTCACATTTATATATAAGATTTTCAGTTGTTATAAGAGAAAAAGAGGAATATTAAGCGAGGAATTTGTCGGTCCTAAAAGGAGAGAAAGGACTCTTCACATTCCAATGTGTGGTGTTCCCTTGGGAAAGGGTCAGATAAGAGATGAGATGTCATGTGTTGTTATCTCACACTTTCTGTCTTGAAGATCAGAGGTGTGAGCTCAGAAAGTGTATCCTAGCATTCAAATTAAAGGGGAGTTGGGGTGCTGTGAACAAGGAGTCTGACCAGGTGATGTTATCTCATCTCGTGTGTAGGGAGAGACAGAGTCCAGACTCTCCATTTGATAAATTGGGGGTAGTGTGTGTTAAGAGGGCAGTTTGCATACTAAAGTCTTTAGCTGAAACAAAGCAGCAGAGGCAAGTTATGTGTGTTTGGAATGGGGCAGGAAGATGTCTTTCAGCTCCTCACTGCCTGGGAAATCAATGTTAGTTTATTGTTCATAAGATAAAAGTCTTCTCTGAAATGTTTCCTGGCCCTGTGGGCACTACAGCATTAATTGCTCGTGAAAGTGTGATCACTTTCACATTGCATTATTTGATTAACTCTAGCATCAGTAACTGATACCATATATAACACTTAAGTATCCAGAGAAGTAAATAGTAAAACTAGAGGTAGCGAGACAGTCATTTGGATAATTTGGTGGAATGATTAAAGTGCCAGCAAGTGTTCCAGAAACTAGCCACCTCTGTGTTTTTTAAGATGCTGTGTCTGACTAGAAAACAGAGCTGAGGAAAAAAAAAAAATTAAACCATCAACTGTCAACCTCCACCATGACCTTCACACACTTGCTTTGACCAGAGGAATTAATTTTCTGCCACAACTTATTAAGTGATAACATTAATCATTTAGGCAAACATTTAAACTGGAGAGAGTACACAGCCCAGTGCTACAGCCATCCACAAGTGTCAGGCCCATTTAGAAAAGGACCAGACATATAAATGCTTGACAAGACCTTGTACATCAGGAGGTGTCAGCAGATGTTCTGGTTTCTAATATGCTTGTTTATCACTGTGTATAGAGACTGCAGATAATAAGTCAAGTAGGCAGCTGGCCTTTATTAAAAAACATGCATTCACAATCAGCTGTTCAACAGCTTGAGGCTCTGTTACGCCCTCAGAGACTGGTTATGAGAAAAAAATCCCCCTGAATCTGTTTTTATTCCCCCCTTTATCTCATGCAAAACAGAAAGAGTTTTATTTGAAACCAACACATCAAACATCTTCCACCAAAAACAGACTGAAAAGCACAATTCTTTCGATTTCCAGTTGCTGTGTGCTGTGCTACAGTATAAAAAGCACAAATTAAAATATTCAGTATTATGTAAATGCACACCTAAATGGATGCCATTTCTCATTTAAACATTAAGCCTAGGTTACACCAGTATAACACACAGCTCAAAATAACTTAAAACTCCCGTGTCCCACAGTTTCTGTGTTTTTGTGATTAATTTTCGATTGACTGTGCTGTGAAATCCTTAATCTGGGCCAAGGAAAGAAACTGGGCCAAATGTGGATGATCAGTAGACTTTCTATTATACCCTGACAGATTCTTATTAGACGTGACAGCCTGCAGCCTTCAGCCCTGTCATCATATTCATCCTCACTCTCACTGACTTTGAACAAAGCAGACAATAACAGCACCCAGTCTGAAATACCCTGATGCCAAAGTCTTCATTTCCCAAGGAGACCAATGTTTCCACTAGAAAAAGGAGATGAATTTCGAGGCTTATTGCCTACAGGTAAAA